ATGTGGGGATACTTGTTCTAACAAAAGTTTAGCAACATAGCGGTTAAGTGCGCACACTCCGCTACTGGTGGCCTGGGTTCGGATCCTGGGTGCGCACCGATGCACTGCTTCTCCAGCCATGCTGAGGCCGCATCCCACATACAGCAACTAGAAGGATGTGCAACGATGACATACAACTATCTACTGTGGCTTTGCGGAAAAAAAAAAAGGAGGAGGATTGGCAATAGATGTTAGCTCAGAGCCGGTCTTCCTCAGCAAAAAGAGGAGGATTAGCATGGATGTTAGCTCAGGGCTGATCTTCCTCACAATAAATAAATAAATAAATAAATAAATAAATAAATAAATAAATAAAAGTTTAGCAACAGTAGTGGCAATGGCCCTTTTAAAAGGGAAACCTTCAAGCCAATGAGAGAACACACATATGGTAGTAAGAACATATTTAAAACTATGAGATTTAGGAGTGGAATGAAACCAAATTGCCAATGAAGAAAAGGCCCTGAACATCCATATATTAAGAAAATTCCATGGGTAACTGATATGAATTTCAAATAGAAAACCACTAGCCTAGAATACACTGGATTTAAATTTTAAAAAGTAAAATTGCAACTAAGTTAACATTTAAAAATAATTGAAATTATGACTGACAACACTGTGCTGTTGTTGTTTAATATCAGGCAAACCAGCACCAGGACTCTGAGAAATAGAAGCATATCATGGGCAGTGAGGGTGATACTGAGCAAGGGCTCCATCTGCTCGCGGCAAGATAAAAGGCCAAGCAGGCAGTGGTGGAGAAAGAATTTGAATAAGCGATAAGCTAGCGTATCGGAAGACGGTGGACTACCATCCTAAAAAACCCATCTTAAAGGGGAACTGATTGGGGAGAGGGCTCAAATGTCAGGCGATGACCGCAGAATGTTGGGCACTTTCTGTGCAGCAGATCTGTGGAATGCAACATTCCTGAGGAATCTAAAAAACCTCAGTTACTTCTTTATCTGGGACAGAAGGAACAGTTTGGGCAGAGGACATAAATTTGCTGCTAACAAGTTATTCTTTCTACCGGTCACAGATTAGTTTGCCTACATGCAGTTCTAAGTGTTTTTCCAAAGCACATTGTGAGAATAAGACTGGGAGGGGAGCATGTGGCCTTGGGGGTGAAGTTCTAAGAGTCCTCTGCGCACAGGTGACTGTCTTTCAGATTTCTTATGACAGGCGAAGCTTACAGTCGGTCATTTTAGCTTCTCAATGCTCCTGTGTGATGCTTAGTCAGGTGGAGGGCTGTCCCAAGCTACTATCTTATCAGCGGTCCTCCTGCTGTTCTGCAAGGCAAGCTCAGAAACTTTGGTTACTTTGTTTCCCACGTTAACCTTGTGAGTACAGGCACAGTTTCATCCTAATTCAGGGAAACTTGAACTCCTTCTTCCTCTGTTTCAAGGGCACTGACAAATCTCTAGGAATTTTATATAATTTCTGAAATATTTATATAATTAACATTTTACCCATTAAATTTTAATTTAGGAAAGGCTCGGCATTATTGTTTTTTAGATTTGACAATGCTTCCCCTGCAATTTATACAATATTAAATAAACCTAATTATTTTTAGCACCTCTCTTATTACAAGATGAAAGAACAGATAAGTTCTTTGGGCCCTCTGGTAAATGCCAGTGTCAGTTTTAGGTGTAAAAGATATATCATATTTTATTTGGGGAAGGCAAAATGTCAAATGTTATCAGGAGGTTTGAACATTTGATTAAATAAGATTATGGGATACTGGGAAATAATACTTAGTTATCTATTGAATCAAAATGACAAAAAAATTAGACACAGAAGGTAACATGATTATAGAGCCTGTTAGCTTCTTTAAAATTAAAAAGCCTTTTAAAAAATAATTGAGGACATGATAAAGTCAACATAAGGGATAGGACATTAGGCTGATAAGACATAAAAGCTTTGCCTTTTAGACAGATTACTCAGGAGGAAAGAAAGACCATTTGTAACCTTTTATTAAGAGCAGACCAATGATCGAAGAAAATTTTATTTTAACAGAGAGAAAGGCAAATTTTAGTTCTGCGTCAGTATAATATTTGATACTAGAGCTCTTTTTTGAAAATCTTATAAATGGTCCCATTAAATTTTAGTCAGTTTTCACCACGACAAATAAAATTTCTTTTCTGTGAACGTTTTAGAATTTTTAAAATATCCATTTACATTTCATCTTACATATTTTTTGGAACCACTAGTTATTTAAATTTAGGACAAAATTATTCTCTTTTTCCTTAACACAAACATTTTTGCATACTTTGCATACAAAGTTGTTCCCCTTTGCCATTACCACTTTTAGTAGTCTCATTTATACATATTGATTACAATTTTTAACTATTAGTAACTTCTGTTTTACAGAGAAGACTAGGACATAGATCATTTTGAACTATCATATGCCAGAATTTTGTAGCAGACTAGTAAAGCTTATGAATATATATATCATAAAATTTTATAGTTATCTACTTTTTTATAGTACAATTTTTCAATGCGGACAAATGAACACATTTATTAACAGATCCAAATTCAGCTTCTCTGTACTATAAAAAATAAGAAGGAAAAAGTATATAAATTTAAAATTAGGCTTAATAACTAATGTTTTAGTATTTTATCTTAGAAATGATCTAGGTATTTAATGAATATCTATTAGTTAATTTAGCATAAGTCTAAGGTTTTAAATTACCAAAAGGATCTTGGAAACTGTCTTTAAGCTGACATATTATAAAACATAATTACTGTTGAAATAGTTTGTCAGAATAATGACTCAGTTTGGTTAAAAACAAATTTATACTTTTATAAGCTTAAATATCTAGTAGATATAATACTAGCTTATTCAACTAGTAAACCTGTTTAGGTTTAGGAAGAATAAACCCAAGACGAATAAAAATATATGCTTCTATTCTATGTAATGTTGAAAACTCTCAAGACATCACTGTTTTTATTAAACAATATAAAATTAGTCTTGTTTGCCAAAGATTTATCTAAATTCTTTGAACTAGAATTTTTAAAATATTCAGGTTAGTTTTTATAAGAATAATTTTTCTTTTTTACATTCAAAGTATTAGAAATTGTTTCTTTAATTTATGAGAGTTTTAGGAATATTTAATGTATATAAGTGCTTATTTATCTCTAAGTCAATTGGAATGGAGGATAAGGGATTTTGAAAGTTAATTTGATAATACTATCCAAAGGTAAGAAAATATTACACATATATTACATACATATATACATAAACATACAGACAGGAATAGAGATCTTATGGCTTTAATTCTAAATTTTCAGCCATGAGTCAGGTAAAACAGAAATACAAAACTCACTGGTTTATATAAACAGTTGGCTCTCCTCCTTGCCCCACTTTATATTTTTATCAGAATTGTGTTTCTGGCGAATGGGACAAGTTGAGGTTACCTGCTCAACATGAAGGCTAAAGCTTCCTACTAATATTTGTAGAGGAGGCTTTTAAGAATTTTTTTTTGCCCTGATATGTGATCTTTTGGAGACTGTAGACTAAATTTTGAGTGAGGGACCAAGGAGCAACCAAACAGCCATCGTGGTGTCTCCAAAGCCCATCTACCTGGATAAAATATCCAGAGCGTTTCCAGTTACTTTGTTTTAGCCTCAGATGGTTGTTTTTGGGATCCCTCAAATCCTGGAGAGCCCCCAATTGGAGCAGGGACCTAAAGGACCACTTACTGGTCCTAGACACATGGAGGAAAGAAGGTCTGTGCTGCTGGGGTCCTGCAGAACAGATAGTTTGGGATATTGGGAAGCAATAGTAGCTTTCGTGGAGAGTTGACAGGAAGAAGGGAACGAAGAAGTGACGAGTTAGTGTAGACAGCTCTTTCAAGAAGTTTGGCTGTTGGAGGGGGAAGAGAAGCAGGGGGGTGGGGTTGGAGATGGTGGTGGCTGACGTTAAGGCCCTTTTGTTTTAAACCGGATGTTTAAGTGTGAGCCCTTGCATCTGCTTCCACCCTACCTCCGTCCCAGATTTAGTGATGCTTAGTTTAGAGGCGATTACGTGATCAAATTGAGCCGCAGGGAAGGGGTTAAAGTTCCATACTGACTGCTATTTATGAGCTGCAAGCGGACCCTCACTCCAGCCTTTTCATGTGTAAAAAAGGGATGAAAATGCTATTGCCTCGTAATAATAGCTTTGACTACTTATCAATAAAGAAGACAACAAGGGCCTCGCTGCGAAAACAAAGCGGCCACAGCAATACGTGTACGCCCACGCGTGTGTGCAGCAGGATCCAACGCGACTCGGCGAGCGTGTGGCTCGTGTTTGTGCGCCTGCGCGCGCCGCCATTTCCTGCAGCCGCGAGGTGAGGCCGCGGTGCCTGCCGGGAAATGCGACCGTCAATAAGGAAAATGGCTGCCGTGGGCGAGATCACCTTTGGCAGGGATTATTCTGCAGCCTTGCCCACGCCGGCCGCCAGATGGTGCGCGAGGATCACAAATGGGCTGGGCCGCACATCTCTGGCCTGGCCAGGATTTGGGTTTTCATGACCCTCCTCCATTGTGGGATCACCAGCCTGTTTGAGAATCTAGCGAGCGTGACGGTCCTGTTACCTCTCTGTCGCCCCCACCCCGCCCGCCAGGGCAACCTCGGGGATAAGCCCCTTCCCAGAGAGCTGAGTCCCTGCTGGGCCTGGCTGTGTGTACAGGTCTTCTGAGCACCGTGGCCTGGGGAGAAGACAGGATGGTTTGGGGCTTTTTAGGCAGGACAGATAGACTGGGATGGGGAAGGCGACTGCCTTTGCTGGTGGGAAGGGAGCAGCGGTTCTGGAGCCCTCCCTAGGACAAAACAGACTCTCCCCAAGGTGGGGGCCATACCGCGCTCCTCTCTGCCCCACCCTCCAGAAAAGGAGCGTGCTATAGCCACAGAAGGTGACATCAGTGTGCACTGGATGAGCAAGGACTGGTCCCACAGCACTCACTCCATAAGGGTGCTCATTCTTCCTCAGTGCCTTGGCTGGGTCTGAGGAGAAGATTGTGGCTGCCAAGGTGGGAGAGGCCTGGCAGGAGAGGCCCAAAACCCTGAGAAGTGACGAGGGAGACCCAGCTGCAGCCATCCAACAGCCTGCAGACCCCAGCACCTCCGAGTGGCAGAGCAGCCCCAGAAGACCTGAGCAGTTTATGGAACTGGACAGCCAGGCCAGCAGGTAAGGACTGTGCTGTGCTGGGCCGGGCTCCTGCCTGCCCAAGCCAGAGTTTTGTCAGGGGCCATGACCCGGAACAGACCCTAACACAGTGGGCATGCCTGCTGCCCTCTACAGATGTGACTGGCTAGGAGCCAGTGGGAAGCTGACCAGCATGGAGTATCCCAGGGTTGGGTTGCCACAGGCTTCAATTTGGAGCCACAGCACTAAATCTGTTAGACCAAGCCTGACACAGATTAGGTGCACAGAGAACCATCTTGTCTGGCAGCCATTTGGAACTTGAAGACCTGGGTGAGGAAAGGGATATGATGTGCTTTTGCCATTCTTGGAGATCGAAAGTCTCTGAGGCACATGTGCTCTGGTGTGGATGGGACTCCCTGCCAGAAATTAAGGATGTTGGATGAATTTTTCCACTGCCACCACCACCACGATGGTTTTGCATGGCAGCATTTGGGTGCTCCCTTTGCTCCCCAGATGTCTTTACCCAAAGTGACCATGAGTTTGGGAATAACCAAGACCCACGGGCCACGGCCTAGAGATAATAGGTAAGTGCCTCCTGTGCGCCAGTTGTAGGTAGCAGTCATAAACACATTGAACAAGATGGCCAGGGTCCTGTCCACCCATCCGCCTGCCCTCAGGGAGCACCCAGTGTACCAGTGAATGAACACAACAGCGGTAACACTGTAGTGATAACCATTAGCATTTGCTATGTGCTAAGAATGTGCAGGCACTGCTCTTGTGCTTTATGTGTACTCACTTAATTCTCACACCAACCCTAGGGGGGAGGTACTATTATTGTCTCTGTTATACAGATGAGAAACTGAGGCAGACAGAGGTTAAGTAACTTGCCAACAGTCATCCAGCCAGACAGTGATCTAACAGGGATTAGAACCCAAACAGTCAGAGCCCAGAGCCTGTACTGCTAATCACCGTCCTTTATCAGCTGCTTCTCCATTTGTGATAAGCCCAGAAAAGAAGGAAACTGGGTGCTCTGATGAAGGGAGGCCAGGGTAGGGGGTGTTGTAGCTAGGATGGTCAGGGAAAGCTTTTCTGCTGAGGAGGGGACCGCTAAGTTGAGACCTGATGCATAAGGAGGAGCTAGCCTGGTAAAGAAGCTGGGAAGATGCAATGTGGGCAGAGGGAGCAGCATGTATGGAAGCCATGATGGGAGAGGGAGTCCAGGAGAAGGAACTGAAAGAAGGGCCCTGTGGCTTGAGGGTGGGAAGTGAAGTGAGGAAGGGATAGGAGACCAAGTGGGTGGGGCCAGGGCTAGACCTTGTAGGCTAGGGGAGGAGGCTACACAAGGGTGGTGAAATGTTACCCGATGAGGGATAGGGAGCTCTTTTGTTGGAGGTCTCCCATTGCTCACGTTGCAGTCCTGGAGGTATCCCCATGGGATTTTTTTACCTTCCTCTCTCAGCCCTGCTGTCCCCTCAACTATTGTGTTGGGTGTGGATCAGAGGATGCCAGGCACTTGCAAGTTGTTCAATCAGAAGAACATGCTATTTCCTTCCTCTTGTAGTCAATCCTCACTCTCTGGCTCTGTATTTTATCCCCCATCTGTCTTTCCAGGTTACTGTGGGGCCTCCCCTCCTAGCCAGTCCACTTTCTCCAGTCTCCATGGTGTGTTCCTGTGTCATAGAGTGACATAGGAATAGGCACAGGGTGACTGGGTGCATTGAGGTGAGGTACCTCACCCAGCCTGGGCAGGTACTCTGAAAGGGCTTCCTGGAGGAGAAGGTGGTGTTATATGCAAAGGTACAAGAGAGGTTGGTCAGTATGGCTAGAGCTTCAGGTACATGTGACATAGTTTGAGAAGATGAGGCTGGGGAGCTAGGCAGGTGCTAGATCATGATTGTTCTCCTCCTCCCACTCTTAAAGTAGTTCAGGTTCTGGCCAGGGGATTCTCTGGCAAGGAGATTATACCCCAGACCCTAGGACAGGTGGAGGCAGCCACATCCAGAGTATTATCTGAGCAGTAGCACTTTGGAGTGTGCACCCATAGAACTGGCCTGAGGCCACTGGAGCGTGGGAAGACATGAGGTGGACGGCACAAATGGGGAGGGATCAGTGGTGATGCCCAACAGAATGCCATGAATTGCAGCTTTGGGTATGGGACTGGTGACCTGGCAGCAGGCAGAGTGAGAGCAAGTAAGGGCCTGGCCAGAGAAAGGCCTTGAGAACTGAGTAGGAGGTTGGATTCCAGGCCAAGGGCTGTGTGTTGCAACTGAGGGTTGGAGATTCAGGAAAACCATTATACCTGTCAGTTTCCTGCTTCTGCTCATGGCTTGTGCCTTCCAGAATGAGGTGCACCAAGTCTGTTCCTTCGTGATGCCTAAATTCATTTGTCCCTCTCTCCTTTGGCCTTGTATTCTCCAGAGAGTTCTCTGGAGGATGGAGGAGGTGCTGATCCTAGGAAGGGGCTGTCCCATCCAAAGAAGAGGTGAGCTGGGCTGGGTCTGTTAAGTCCCCCATAGCTCCGTGGCTCTCCTTGAACCAAGTGAGTCACAGGCCAAGGCCCTTGGCTGCAGTGGGAAGTTCTGGGCAGATACTGGAAGATTGGGGTCTTGCCACTGACTCACAGTGTGACCTGGGTCACCCAGCCTGGATTTTCTCCTCTGTAAAGTGAGTAGTTCCACCCATGGATCTCAGGAGCCTCAAAGAGCGAAAGCTATGATTTGCAAGGGTTGTTTGAAAGTCATTGACATTCTTTTCAACTCCTTGAAGTGGCAGTCTCGGGATTAAGCCCCCCAAACTCTGTCTAACCTTGGAAGGTATCAGCTCTCAGTGGTGACCCACTCGCCCCTCCCTCCACTTTTTTCAGGGTGAGAAACCCCTCAAGCTGTGTGGTCACTGTCACCGTCACTGCTGCTGCTGAGCAGCCTCACGTTTATATCCCAGCCTCCCCGAGTGAACCAGACTCCAGCTCAACCAGGTAAGAAGGGACTACCTGGGAGATGTTTGCTGGGCTCTTTCCTCCCTACAACTAAAGGTTTTTGTCCCATGTCACTTCCCTGACGTTAGTTCTAGTGCCTCCCCTAACTCCCAGCAGCCCATTGGTCAAGGGACGGCCTAGCACAGTCCGAGTCCCCCCAGTATCAACTCCTGTTTGTGGGCCTGGACAGAGTCCCATCATATACCCTCCCTATCCCAATGAGAAGCTGAGGAGGCACTTTCTAGGGCTCTGCCGTTCCTAGAACCTGGGTAATATCTCTTGGTGAACATGCCTGGGAAGGCCAAAGAAAGCCCTTTGAGGCCAGAGCCTGTGTCTGTCTCTCTCTCATTACCTGTTGTGAGGAGAGGTGCATACCTACTGTCTCATCTGCACTCCTGGAGCCACCCGCAATCTTAGAGTGCAGGAAGGGAGCCGTTGCAGGGAGGCTGAGTGAGGGGTGTGTATGTGTGGCGGGGAGATCAGAGGGGCCTCTGCTGACATCAAGCCAGCAGGCTGCAGTGCACAGCATGGAAATGGGGTCAAATTTGGGGTTGTAGTGAGCCCAACATGAGGCAGACCTTGTTTCCAGTGTTGCCAGGGGCCTGTCCGGGGTGAGTTGACTTCTAGGGCTCTAGAATTCCAGAAGTGAGAAGAGAGAGGTTAGATTGCTGATGGAGATTCTCACAGAGCGGCAAGGACTGACACTGTAGGATTGAGGCTTAGAGGCTCTCCTGGCCCTGCGTGGAAGGGAAAGAAAACACGGTCCAAGATGAGGATGCAAAGTCCACTGCACTGAAGTCTGGGGCAGGGGCAGGGCGTGCCCCCCACAGTATTGAGATCCACATGAAGGAGGACAGCATATTGCCATTGGCTGCAGGGAGCTTCTTTATAGGGCTCTCAGATCCGCATGCAGCAAGCTGAACCCACAGGCTTTGATTTCAGCCCGAGTCCACAGTGGGCTTAGCTGTCCAGCAGCTCCCCTTTGCCGCTTTCTTTGCCTGGAAGTGGCTGGAGCTAACCAGCACCTGTGCCCCCAGGCCTTCCCAGGAGATCCTTCACTTCCTTCAAACCAGATGGAGGTCCTTCTAGCCCTGGATCCCTCCTTGGGGTCACGCCCAGTCCCCTGGAATCTTCCAGTATACCTCTTTCTGTTCTACTCTGCTCCTACAGCAAAGGGATTCTCTTCATGAAGGAGTACGTGAATGCTAGCGAGGTATCCTCCGGGAAGCCAGTGTCCCCACACAGGTAAGAGCAAGTCCCCAATTCTGCCAGGCCCTGTGTCGTCATTCCTGCACTCCAAGTACCTCATCCAGGGTTTGGCCCAGAGTAGCTTCTGTGTAATCATCTATCAAATGGATGAACGATGTGATTGCCCACGGACATGATTTACGCATTTCCAGCTGTTCTACCTAACTCAGGGCCTTTGCGTTCCCCCTTTATTGTTACTTCATCTTGCACCCTATTTCATCCCTTTCTGCCTTTGTTTCTTAGTAGACTGCAAGTTTTCTTTTGAGAAATCCTGAGAGCATCACTCTTTACAGAGCTGGTGGGGCCCTTAGTTAATTCCATCCTGTTCCAGAACACAGGGCTTCTCTCTTCAGCTCTCACGCTCTTTCCAGCATGCCACATTGCCTCATTTGAACACATTAACTGCAGGTCCTGAGATAAGCATAACTTTTCATTCATCGGCTCTTCATCTACTTGCTTCCTGATGCCATACAGATGGGTACCTCCATGGCAGCTCAGTTAAAAACTAACCCATACTGACACAGTGACCCCCTGGGAATGTTTTTTATGACATATCATTCCCACTGCTAGGGTGAGGATGCTGTGGAATGATGCGCATGGGTGTAGGGGTCAAGTTCAAGCCCCAGCTCAGACCCCATTGATTGGGTCGTTTTGGACAGGATGCTCAACCTTTCTGAGCCTCAGTTTCTTCATCTGTAATTCCTTAGGGTGGTTTTTCTCAACAGCTTTATTGAGATATAATTCACATGTCATAAAATTCACTCTTTAAAGCATATAATCCAGTGGTTTTTAGTAAATTCACAGTGTTGTGTAGCCATCACCACAATCCAAATACAGAACATTTTCATCACCCCAAAAGGAAACCTCATACCCATTAACAGCCCTCCACTCCGCTAGCCACAGCCCTTGGCCACTGACCTATTTTCTGTCTCTATAGCTTTGTTCACGGAGGTTTTGAGATTAAAAGTAAAGTATGAAAAACTTCCATCACCCCGAGGGAGCTGTCTTTGCCATCTAGCTTTTGCCTCTCTGAGTGTCACTTGACTGAACTCTGTCCATCTCCTGGTTTTTCTTCTCCCAGTCTCACCACTCTGTTAAATTTAATTTATACATTTTGACAGATTTATTTTAAAATTGAATTAAATATTTAGTCAAACTATTACATCTTATGAAAAAACAGTAGACTTTCTTTATTGTATAGGGAAAATTGTGTAGTCCAGTGTGTTTTCCCCTTTTGCTTTACCTTCCAGGAGGCTTAGAGATAAGCTTAATACTCAGAAGAGATCAGAACCTGGGCTGAAATTCTAGTTCACCCCTTACTCTGAGCATGACCTCAGGCAGATCACTTCACCTCTGAGCAGCAGTTTTCTTAACTACCTCCTGGGGTCACCACATGGCTCTAGTGAGAATGGCAGCTTCACTAAAGTGTATCCCAGGGCTTGTAGCTAGTCACCCTTCCCTGCCAATAGTTAAAAAAAATATATATATATTAATTTTTATTATAAAAAGTCATATTATGAAAAATTAAGATGCAAAAAGGAGACAACCTCAACCCTAATCCTACCCTGTAACCCAAGCCCAGGTATTATGTTGGAATGTTTCCTTCGTTTTTTTGTTCCCATCACTAGTGCCTGATTTCTACTGTGAGTGGTCTCCTGGTGACTGTCACATTATAACCCAGACACATATGTGGGGAGAAAAGCCCTGCTCCTTTCCCATTGGTCAGTGAAACTGGGGGTCTTCCTGGTATACACAGCCTTAAGAATCCTACCCCTCGCTTGTCATCTTCCTCACCATGGCAGATCTTCTTTTCCCCCCATGCAAGGGCTCTGCTCCAAAAGAATTATGCCTCCTTGGCACCAAGTTCAAAGCTTCCTCTGCCATTTAGCATAACAGATGATGGTTGGCCATGCAGGTTCGTGTCAGAGCTTGTGGGCACAGTGTTAATCAGAAAAGCATTCCCCACTCATGACTATGGTAGTGATCTGGCTCCCATTTTCTGCCCTCTTCTCCCCGCTCACACTCCCTGCAGCATCAGCAGAATTGAGGACTCATTCAACATGGAGAAGAAACCCCCATATGACAGCATCCCATACTCTGAGAGGTAAGTTTGCTGCCTTACCAGGGAGTGGTCTGGCAGCTGATCCACTTGCAGATCTGTCACACCACTGCGTAGGGTGGTGCTTCCCTTATTGGGATGTCACACTTGTGGCAACTAAAGCCTTTAAACCCAGCTAAGATCAGAAGGCAAACACAAAGGCCTCTGAGAAGGTAGATGGTGGTGTCTGAAAGCCCAGGAGGCTCGTGTCCGCAGGAGAGACCCTTGGGATTAGAACCTAATTGATCACTTAATGAACCTGAAAATCTGACCAGAAGGAGAAAAAACTACAAAAGAGAGTGGTGGGTGGAAAATGAAGAAAAGTGGGTTGCTATCATCGAGAATTCAGAAAAGAGCCAGGAAGAGCCATTCATTTGGAATGAATGCAGGTGCAGAGAATGCGTCATTCAGCAGTTTCAAAACCTGTCACTAAATGACAGCAGTCACAGGATGGTCTTAATGATAAAGAAGCCCTGTTTTTAAATTCTTGGAATAGGGGAGAAAAGAGTCTTAGAGTTGTAGTTCATTCAAGTCACAGTGAAGGAAACAGCTCTGGAAGGAATAAATAACGTGCCTTAAGTCACACAGTGAGTTAATGGCAGAGCCAGGACTAAAATCCAGGTCAGGGGTGTTTCTACTGCCTGTGGACTGGAGCTGGTGGTGGTCAAACATGCAGGAGGAACAGGGCTGTGACAAGGGCAGGAGTCTTTAGCAACAGTGTCAAGAGACTGATCTCTGGGCCATCAGCAGGATGGAGGGACGAAACTCGAGACATCCATGGCAATTCTGGGCCCTGGAAATGAGCCAGAGTGGCTCTAGGTTAGTAGCACTGCTCCTGGCTCCTGTCAGAAGCAGACCCAAATCTCTGGAAGAAAGCAACCCCAATTTAGGCCTGAAGGGTCGGGGCAGGCAGGCACTTTCAGCATTTCTGTCTGAGGAGGAAAAGCAGGGGAGGCTTAGGAGCAAAAGCAGGGATCCTGGAATTGGGGAGATACTCAACCGAGAAGTTGGTATCTAGAACTTCAACCTGAGATCCTAGCAGGTTCTATAGCCAGACTGACTTTGTGAAAGTTTCTGCAGTACCATAGGGGCAGGGTGAGTCCAGGAGTGTAGGGTCCGAGAGGCAGGGCTCAGTGGTCCCAGGCATGAAGAGAAAGGCCATCAAGACAGGGGGCCAGGTAGGGCATACAAGGACATGTCTCCTGTAGGAGAAGACATGGGTCTTCCTGTTCTAGAAGGGAGCAGTCTCCCAAATTGATATGCTGGCAGGGGGGCAGGGAGAGGTAAGCTGCCTGGAATAAGAATCACATCAGTCTCCTCACATGTGATAGTGAGTAGGGTGAAGATACATGATCAGTTTCTGGAAACAATGCAAGAGTCTATAGTGGGCTGAGGCCTGGGCTCGTCCAGGGCTATGTGGCCAATTGCATACCACAGGAAAAGATGGCAGGCTGGGAATCCTGGCAGCAAACCTAGGCCTGGCTGTGTCAAACCAGAGGACCTGGCTGCATCACATCAGTAGTCTGCATGCCAACCTGACCGCCAAGTTCTTGTTTTTCATTTCACAGAACTGGAGGGATCTGTACTTACTGCAACCGGGAGATCCGAGATTCCCCAAAGATTACCTTAGAACATCTTGGCATCTGCTGCCATGACTATTGCTTTAAGGTAAGGAAGAGGGGTGGTGCTGCTGAGAACATTTTCCAGAGCTAGAGAGTCTTATGGATTCAGAGAGTGTGGAAAAGACTTGATCTCTGTATGATTATGCTCCATCTCAGAGACTTTGCAGATCTGGGAGCTGAATGAGCTCCCAAGTCCAAGGAAGTAAATGAGTGCTGGCAATTCTATGTGCTTAGTACTGTAGGGGAGACAGAAGTGGTCTTCTGGGGAAAAACTATTCCCAGCATAGGGCCAACAAGCGAAAAGGGCTTGGGGCAGGAGCATGGAGTATTGTAGCTTGCATGGCTGGAATGGCATGAGTGAGAGGTAGGTGGTAGAAGGTTAAGGTCACAGAGATAGCTGGGGGCTGGATCATGTAGGCCTTGGAGGACACAGAGAGACTTTGGATTTTATTCTAAATGCAATTGGAACCTACTACAGGCTTTGGGTCGGGAAGTGACAAGGTCTGATTCATGCTTTTTAAAGGATCCCTCTGGCTGCTAGATGCAGGAGAGACTAGAAGAGCAGGAATGGAAAAAGAGAGACCAGAGAAAACTGTTGCAGTAGATCAAACTAGGGAAAACAGTCACTTGATGAGAGAGTTGGCAGTGGAGATGACGAGATGGTGGCTGGATTGGAGATGCTGTTTGAAAATAGAGCCGGCAGGTTGTAGAGTGTGAGAGAGTGAGAGGAGTCAAAGGAAATTCCAGTTTGGGGCCCAAGCCATTAGTTGAAAGGATGTTGGTGCCATTTACTGCAATGAGAAGGACTAAAGGCCAGCAGGTATTCAAGAGGGAAGCTGGAGCCAGGCACAACTGAAGATGCCTCCGGGAGAGCTATGCGGGAGGTCACATAGTCATTTGGATGTGTAAATTTGCCTTCCAGGGAAAGGCCAGGGCTGGGAGTCTGCGGGGCATACATTTTTGCTGAGCCATCCCTGAGCTGTCGAACTCACCTTGGGTGTGAATAGGAGGACCCAGGGCTGAGCCCTGTGGCTTTCTGGCATTTAGAGATTGGGAAGAGGAGAGAGTCTACAGAGGCGGCTGAAAAGTAATGGAGAGTGTGGTGCCCCAAGTGACACAGTTTCTTAGAAGACTGCAGTGGTCACCCTGTCAATGGTTGCTGCAAAATTCAATGGTCAATTCTCAGGCTGTGCAGAGCCCACTTGAGATGAGGGCTCATGAATTCCTGCCAAGTCCAGACGGTGTGGTCCTGTGTGGTTCCCGTGCCAGGCTCTGGCAGGATAGAAGCAGGGGGAGTTGCATTTACCAGGGTGGAGATTTTGCTGGGTGAGTTGGCAAGATTGAGGCTGTGTGCAAGAGAACAATAACAGTGAGATGGTGTGCTGGTCCACGTATTGAGGGTCCCAGTGGTGATAGGAACCTGTCCAAGTAAGCTGGAGGATGTAGGAGTCAAAGAGTGGGACATGTGACTTGCAGATTTAGGATGCAGTGCACTTATTGGTAGTGACAAGGTCTAGGGCAGCAGATCTCACACTTGAGCATGCATCAGCATCCCCTGGAGGCTTGTTAAGACACAGAACGCTGGGCCCCAGCCAAGTTTCTGACTCAGTAGGTCTGGGTGGGACCTAAGAATTGGCCTCTCTAGCAAATTCCCAGGCAATACTGAAGCTGCTGGTCCAGGGACCCCACGTACAGTCTAGCCAGAGCAGTGGCTGATGTAGAGAGGGGTCCCAGAACATTGTAGGAAAGGAACAAAAGACCAGGTGGTGGGGAGCTCCTCCATCTGTGTGGATCCAGAATGTATTCAGGATAGTACAGGAGTAGTGGTGGAAGGAGGGAGAATAATCCAGATGTGAAAATCATTGACAGGGGCTTGGCCTGGAGAGCAGCAGTAGTTTGCAGTAAGAAGGGAGCAGGAGATGGGGGCCAGCCTGGTGGTGTAGTGGTTGGGTTCGAGTGCTCCACTTTGGCAGCCCGCGGTTCGCAGGTTCAGATCCTGGGTGCGGACCTACGCACCGCTTATTAAGCCATGCTGTGGCGACCTCCCACGTATAAAATAGAGGAAGATGGGCACAGATGTTAGCTCAGGGCCAATCTTCCTCACTGAAGAAAAAAACAAAAGAAGGGGGCAGGAGGGATAATTTGAGGGCCAATTGTGTTCCATGGACTCCAAGTAGGATTATATTTTTCAACCTAAAGATCATGACATGTGGTTTGGCAAAGAACATTTTGTTTTCCTGATTCCTGGACTTACATGAAAACTCCTAGAAGATTTTGTCAACTTTTGGTTATATACTTAATTACAGGGCACTGCTGTTGAACATAGAGCAAAAATACGGGAGTGTGAGACCTAAGCAACTCTTGACGCTAGGTGTTGGGGGAGGGGGCAGTTGGAGTGGGCCCAAGTCCCCAGGAAGGCTTTGTGAGGGAGGCGGGCCTGGAGTCGGGGGCAGAGGGGCACACAGATATTTTCCAGGTGGCTAAACATGAGCAAAGGCAGCTGCACTTGGCCGTGGAGCAGCTCTCCATGGTGCATGCAGATGAGATAGGAGTAGGAAAGCAGGAGGCTGTGGTGTGGGAGGAAGAGGCATGGAGGGGCAGAGATCTTAAACTTGCCCAGTCAGGGCTCACATAAGGGCTTTGGAAGTTGGAGTGTTGGCAAAATAGTGAGGCCTTGATATTCTTGGGGGATTCTTGGAAGGTTGGCCAGGATCACAGAAGTGGAGAGGGTGTCATTCCTCTAGGATCACAGAGCTTCTCAGAACTGAGGGTCACAATCCCGGCTCCGACATCAGAGCCCATGTTATCCCAGCCACACTCTGCTGCCTCCCAGGAAAGGTCATCCCCTTGCTCTCCTTCATTTGTACAAACTAGTTTGTCAATACCCTTAATTGTAGGTTTTTCTTACCTCTATTAAGTTGACATAACATTTTAAAATACTAGTTTGTGTGGTTACATTTAGGAAAAAAGAGAGGACACCCATGGCCACAGCATCATAACAACCCGTGAGGGGCCCTGTTCTCCACAGTGTGAGGCAAGCCCAGATTGTTGATTTTTTTTTCTGTGTTCACAGAGGTGACCCCCTAAATGGATCAGCACCATCAGTTGGCTAAGTTGAGGTTCAAGTCCTGGTCCACAGTGACTAAAATGACAGAAACATAATATAGAGGGCTGAGGGCTCTACCTTGGGCTATCTCACTAAATGTTCCTGATGTCCTGCCGGTGTGCCACTTTTATAGCTGAGGAAATGGAGGCGCAGAAAGCCTCAGTAACTTGCCCAACCTCACACAGCTAATAAGTAGTGTGGATTTAGGGCTCAAACTCCAGCCCAGTTCTGAAACCTGGGCGCCTAACCACTATGTGATCGTGCTGCCTGCTAGTTTTTGTGATTTTTTTTTTTCGTTTGAGTTTTGTCTCCATTTTCTGCCATTTTTTTATTGTCTACTTCAAGGTCCAGGATGTGCTGCCAGCTCACTGTCTGCCTGCCCACCTTGGTCAGGCACCCCTTCCCTACTCCACTTGTTGATGTTGCTTTATTTGTGTGTTGACCTCTAGCTTGCTTTCTCTTTCAGTGTGGGATTTGCAGTAAACCAATGGGTGAACTCCTCGATCAGATCTTCATTCACCGTGACACCATCTACTGTGAGAAATGCTATGAGAAGCTCTTCTAGGTGGGTGCTGGCACCCCAAGGGCCAAGCAGCCAGGAAACTTATTAGGGGAAAGAAATGTGCTCTGGTCTCTCCCTGAGTCTCGATCAGGACACTGCTATCTCTCTTAGCCTGTAGGTTCAGGGGGCTCAAAGTTTTCATGTCCCTATGCCTTATGATACTTTGAAGTCTCAGGTGGCACAGATAAAGACTCTCCCTGGGGATACTTCCAATTTGCAGGGGTCATAGTCTCTTCCTTTCAAGAAGTGCCATCCATGCAGCACCTCAGCTGAGCCCTCCAGCTGCCCTGGGATGCCAGCCAAGCCTGTGTTGTTAACCTCATTTGGGGACAGGGAAATAAAGACCTAGAAAGGGAAAGAGTCTGGGGAAACCCCTAGCTAGTGGATGGCAGAGTCAGGACCTCAACCTAGGACTTCGGATTCAGGTCCAGGGATCTCTGCTACAGTGCCTTGGACCACCTCCACCATTGCTCATATAGCACCAGATCAGGACTCGACAGCCAAAGTGTTGACTTAAACGAGATACAGCTGAGGGCCAGCAGCAGGCAAAGGCCAGGATAAGCGGGCATGCGTGGGAGTGGATGGTGCTGTCCTGGGGCTGGCCCAACCAGGAAGGGATGCTTGGGTAGCCTCTGGGCCACATTGTCAGCACTGCCTGAAGACAGGTTTGCCTGCTAAAAGCCAGTGGAATTAACCCCACTGTCTGAGCTGCGTGGGGCCCGGTGCTAATAGGATGTTGCCTTTCCAGATCCTGGCAGTCCCTCCTCCTTAGCACCTCCTCAGCTAGAAGCACAGAGGAGAATACCTCCCTTGAAGGCAATAGGAATGGGTAGCAACAAGGCTCTCCACCAGCTACAAGCCTCTTCCAACTCCTCTCCAGAAGATGCATTGACTTGGACTGTTACTCCTGATGTCTGGAGTGGTCAGCCACCCCAAGCGCCTCTGACTGGTCATTGGATTGGATGTGTATTTCCAATCTCATGGCTACTTCTATTTTCTTTTAGCTCCCCCAGGCTGAGAAGAAGCTGCTGACTCCTGGACAAATTTGGCTGTCCTGAGTTGCCCCAAGTTTCCTAACTTCATCCCTCCCCATTTGATTTCTTCATGCTTTTGCCCTTCTCAAGTTGAACTTGCTTACAGCCAGTAGTATATCTTAATGATGCTATGTTCCTTATTTGTGTGTGTAACTTTTTATAGCTTAGAAATCACTTCACATCCATGATCTCATTTCAGGCTCAAGCAGAAAGGATTGAACAAGAATTCCATCTTGGCTTCCCTAAGACAGGTGGCCTCCTGGTATGATAGGCATGGGCAAGAGCATGGGGTTCAGTGTGTTGTGACTCTTGGGACGGAGAGCATATCCCATTCTGGTCCACAGCTCTGAGTGTACCTTTGGGACTTGAGAGCAGAAGGAGACCCCCTGAAGCTTCTGAGGGCCAGGTTGAAGACTGTTGATGATCCCTGGTGGGTAAATTGCAGACATTGAATGCTAGAAATTGGCATAGGCTAATGTTTGGCTTGTCTATTTGCCATATATATATTTTAAACTTTCCATACACTTTTAAAAGTAGTTAGTTGCTTTTTATTGAGTTCTATAGCATATTTTAATTACCTCTTTCTACCCACCTTTCACTATAGTTGAGTTTTGTCCCACAGGCATGTAGTCATGTATTAGAAAGTTTACAGAATTAGGTTTAAATTCTGTAGGATGTGATTCTTAGGAGGCTACTGACCAAAGGGACATCTGTGTCTGAATCTTGGTAGGTGATTGATACCTTTGCCCTCAATTCCTGATCCCTAAGCTTTATGCAGAAATCCTCTAAAGTAGGTTTTAGGGTATATAGACTCCTGCAGGATTAAGAAGGGAGAAAAGCAGCTAACATTTCTTGAGGCCTTTCTACATACCAGGCATTATCACAAAGTGATGATGTTAATCCCCATACTAATCTTGTGCAGAGGGTATTCTTGTCCCCAGTTTACAGATGAGGATATTGAGGCTCATATATGAGAGATGGTCATTGCATTGTGCAGAACCATTGCTGTCTCTCCCTTCTAACAGTAACCACAACAGCGAGCACTGATTCAGTGCTGAGTATGTGCCAAACACTGTGCTGAGGTTACCTATCCTACCAGGTAACACCACCCCCTCAGGCCTCTCCTGAGGCACACTCTTACAAAGAGGAGAAGGTGTGAAATCACTCCTCGTCTGGCCATCCTGGGTCGCCCTGTGAAGTACCAGAAGGACCAAACTGCCCCCCTTCTCTCTCCTCCCCTTTCCCTGAAACCGCTTCTGAACTGAGATGCTCACAGCTGGCAAGAGATTTGACTCACAGACCTTCCAAAGAGGAGCTTGTCAATCCAGGGAAAGCTCTAGTGGGCTAGCCAATCTGAGCACAGCACCTTCAGTGACCTCCTATATTCCAGTCCAGACTCTGTCCCAAGCTAGCAGCAACTACTGGGGCCCCAGGTACTCAGAATGTGGAAACCTGTTGCTGGCTGGACAGGTGCAGGCCCATTCGTGTGGTCAGCTGACGCTCTGCTCAACTTCAACTGGGCTTCTCTACCTTTGGGACCAGCATCGCTGTGTAGGCTCCCCGAGAGGAGGAACAACCTGAGAGTTTTCCTGATGAAAAATGAGAGCCTCTTCTCTTGATTTAATTATAAAATATCTCTCCATCTCTCCCATTTCAGAGTCCTATGCACATTGACTTGTAGGCTTGTTCTTCCTGTCAAATGATCAGGGAGGATCCATTTATTTGCAAAGAGATGCATCAGATTTGCTTTGGAGGGAAAAAGTGGTACAACATGCCGTGTACTGACACTGAACATGAGCTGGTGTTCCTCAAGACTAGCCCTTGGCCCATGGTAGGCACTGACATGTAGGTGCTGAATGAATGAATGAAAAGAAAAGAAACGTCACTTTTTGGGCAGGAGGTGCCATCCCTGAGTCTTGGTAGTACAGGCCCCGCTGATGGAGTGCAGGATAAAAAGGTCCAAGATAGGCTGGCTTCCCCACCTTCAAGATACACTCTGCCTTTAAGGGAGTTTTAGAACCAACATGCAAGATATTGATAGAAAGCTTGCGAGATCAATATTGATTTCAATCCAAAACAGCCTCTCTCAATGGCTAAAAAGGCACAGAATTGTGCAGACTTAAGGAAAAGGGGTGGTTGCATCACACTTTTGCTTTTTAATTGCCTAGTGTTTTTAATCATACTTGCTTAACCCACATTAATGTACACAATTATAATAAATGTTAAGATATTATATATGTTAAGGTTTCCTTTTTTAAGTGTAATAACTTGGTGTAGTTGGCTGTGTGATTTATTTTCTCCTATTACCTGAAGCCATTCTCTCTACAAAAGCAAATAAATACTTTCAGAAGTGTCAAATCTAAAGAGAAAAAAAATAGCAAGATCGAGAAACTATGCATGCACAGGGAGTGTGGAATTCTAGATTTGTCAGATCTTAATGAAGAATATTTTGAAGAATATTTTATTCTTTTGAGTCCGTCCTCCCTTTCGTTACCATTGCAGACAGATGACCACCTAGTCCTTATTGCACACTTGCAGTGACCAGGAGCTCAATCCCATACAAGCCCATTCTGTCTGTAGATAGGCCCAGTTTTAGAAAATGCATTCTCCAGTTGAGTTAGAATCTGTTTTCCTTTAAGTGTTGCCCGCTGGTAATCTATAATCCCTCTCTTATATACCAGCACCTAAAATAGATGAAGATGCTTATTGGATTCTCCCTCCATCAACTCTTCTCCCATTTAAACACCCCTGGTCTCATCAAATTTTCTTGAACAGTAACTCTGAATGCACCTCTCTCAAACACCCTCCTCAAAGGTGCCCCCCCACATACCTGAAACCATTCCTCCAGATGTGTACCAATAGGCAAGACTATCTTGCTTATTAAGGCCAGTGCCCCAGGCTGTTAGAATCCTGTTGAATTGTCATTCTGCTTATCCAGTGATCCATGCTTCTGAGTTTGTATCCAAAAATACAATTCGCATGCCATCTATGTCTTGATCCAGCCCAGGGACAAAAAAGGATGATCAAGAAGTCAGTCCAAAGATAGAAGATATGACAGAGAAATCCCTCCACTACTGAGCAGGGACCTTGGGACCCAGTGTTCAAGAGCTATTGAGCTAGTGTCCCTGTAGCTACGTCCTCACCCAACCACAGCCACTATCTTGGCTACATGAGTACAGTTGGGAAAAGAACAGAGAAGTTTTACGACTTCAAAAGACAAGGACTGCAGCAGTAGCTTCTGACCAGATATTTCTAGGACTCTCTGTTGGGAACAGTATGTGACACAAAGACCTAAAATAAAAATAGGGTAGTGTTATTTTGAAAAGTCACTTAGCAGATCAGGTTCCCACCAAGTAGGTTGATCCCAGTACTTAGCCTCCTCTATTCTTTCTCCTCCTCCCCCACAGATCCACACCTGTGAGGGCCCCCAACCCACACACCCCCATGTAGTGTCCCCTCAGGACTCTGCTTATGAATATCTTCCACCTGTGAATCTCCACAGAACACATTCCTCTTGTGACACTTCTCTGCACATCTCCCCATGAAAGTCCCAAGGGAGGAAAGCTTCCACCAGGGCACTCAACACTGGTTCCATTGAATTGGAAGTTGAGACTGCCACCTGGCCATTTGGGACCCCTCATGCCACTGAACCAACAAAGAAGAGGGTTATTCTGCTGGCTGGCTGATTGCTCCTGATTATCAAGGGGAAATAGGGTTGCTGCTACACAGTGGGGGCAGGAGGGACCATGTCTGGAACCCAGAAGATCAATCCTCTGGGAGTGTCTCTTAGTGTTCCCACATCCAATAATATGTTAATGGAAAACTATAGCGATTCATGCAGGCAGGACCACTAAGGGCTCAGATTGGTCATGAATGAGGTTTGTATCTCCCTTACAGGTAAACAACCACAACCAACTGGATGAGATCATAGGGAGCTTGAAATACTAGTGAAAGAAGCCAAGTTATGAAATACCGAATACAACCTCATGGCCAGCTGCAGAAATAAGAGTTATAGAAGCTATGCATATTTTGTCTTGCTTTGTTATTATATGTTTGAATCTACTAAAGCATTTTTTTCTTTCTCCCATTTCCTAATCCTGTGTTTAAATTGTATGAGTGGTGCTTAATCTTTTAGTCTATAGATTACAGTATTTCAAAGTGTGATTGTGACAGAACTAGAAGAGGAATAGGCATCTTCCAGGGAATGGGAGTGTGTCTAATGGGACTTTCGATCCCCCCTTTTTGAAGAAGGTGAGGGTGTATTCACCTGTATGAGGGATGGGTGCATCATGCTAAGCAGAAGCATAGTGTCACTATTATTATCATTTGGAAGAAAAATATGGATAGAAGACTATTAAGGATGATGAGTGGTCAAAGAGGTGGACCATGCTGGATTGGCAGTTAGCAACTAAGCAGCATTCCTTCTCTTTTGTACATTCTCTCCTCGATATGAGGGAGAATCCTGAGAACTACATGTCCCAGAATCCCTCATCAGAGTGCTTCTGAGCTTGATTCTCCAGGTACTTGAGTACTCTGAGAGGTGCTCGTACTAGATTTGGAAAGCAGAAGAGAAGAAGTCCTTATTCTCTGGAAACAGCACTGGGCACTATGGGGTGGCAAAAACAGGGTATATGTGGGTTTTTTTCCAAGGGGCTTCTGGGAAACTTCTGGAGAATCATCCACGACAGTCCTGCAGGCAGCTGGAATCATTGGGGGCTTCCTCCTCGGGTACCAGTGGCAGCAGCCCTGACCTTTACTGCTTCTGCCTTCTACTGGTTGTGTAAGCTGCTGATTCCCTGTTCTCAACCCTTCCTGCTTGGGGAAGAGTGGTACCGCTTTCCCGACGGGCGCCCCTGTGAATGCTGTCTCCACCCTGCCTGTGAATGTTTCCTACCATAACATCTGGACCGTGAAAGACCCCTTCTCCAGACCCAACTCACCGTACCTCTGTTTTTAAACACCTTCTGCACAGCACTGTCACCCAAGGAGCACCTTGTGTGCCAGGCCCATTATCTAATGACATCTGTGGGATTTCTTTCCCTCTGAATGTCCTCTGAACACTAGGCTCTGCCCGTGAATGCTGCCTGTGATGCACAACCACCCCCCCCATCCCTGCCCCACTCCCCACTGCCCAGGAACAACTTCTGTCTGCACTCTTAATAATGTGATCAGCATGATTTCCTCCTCTGGGTGCCTTCTGCACCTACTCTCTGTTTGGGAATGTGTGAGTCTCTAAAGTTTCCTCTGGCTATGAGAGATTGCTACTGGCCATTTTTCTGTGAATACTGTTTGCACATTCATATTTTTAACAACTTTATTGAGATATATTTAACACACAAGAAACTGAACATATTTAAAGTGTACATTTTTATTAGTTTTGACACATGCATACATCTGTAAATCCATCACCCTGTTAAGATAGTGAACATACATATAACCCTCAAAACTTTCCTCATGCCTCTTTGTAATCCTTCTATCCTGTAGCCACTGATCTGCTTATTGTCACTTGGATTAGTTTGTATTTTTAAGAGCTTTATATAAGTGGAATCACACAGTATGCACTCTTTGATGGAGTAATGGAAACATTCTGAATTTTGATTGGCATGGTGATGATACAGATATATACATTTGTCAAAACTCATCAGACTGTACACTTAAAATGGGTGTGTTTTATTGTATGTTAAGTATTGTCAAATAAAAAACAAATATGGACTTAGTAAGGACAGACTTTTATTCAGAAGAATTATTATAAGGGGAAAAGAGACTATTGCAATAGGCAGAGGGGGGCTTTTGCAATAGGCAGAATGCTGTGACCATAAGCTCTGCAAGCATCTGAAGAGTTAGGCAAAAAGAGTTTCTTCCTTTATAAAGAGGAGTAAGCAAGGCCAGAAAGAATCAAATGTGGGAAAGTGGGGTAAAAGGGTGGCATGATCACACAGTAGATCAGCAAATATTTCCCCCTGAGGCTGGCCCAGTCTCAGGAGTGGTTGTCTGCTGGCTTAGGCTGGGGGTAGGCCACAGTTCTGAGTCCTGGAGGAAGGAGAGAAGTAGAACCAAAGTTTGATTAACAAGACTTTTGTTCCAATTTATCAGTGGGTACAAAACAATTTAGCTAATCATTTATGAGGCAAAGGATGGGAATTAGGAGGGTCTGTCTGGCCTTGTCATAGGAAGACAACAGAGGCACCCTTGAGTCTGATCTAAGTCCTATGGGGAAGGGGGCTTCTTTGCAGTAAGCCATTTCCCAGAACACAAAGTGGGGGGTTTCTTTGCTGCTTTCCAGGATCACAGGGCTCAGGTAAAATTCAACGTTGTCAGTTCCTCCTTTTGTTCAAGACAAACAGCATTCGTTCATCACTGAACAGCCTAGAGGGGTCATTGATCTGAGTGGGACAAAGCAGGCTCTAAGAAATAGTCTCTTGAAGACTCCTAGAGGCAGCACTCCTGCAAAATCAGCTGAACCATCTGTTGAGAGGTGATGGCACAGGGCATTTATTTTAGTGTCAGGCATCTTAAAAGAGGGATGCCTCTCATATAAAGGCCTTCATGAACTTCCTTACTAACCTAGTTAGTGACTTTTACCAGAGAACTTTGGCTCCTACATGGTGTGCTGGGGTGATAAGTCCTCTGAGGTATAGATCAAGTCATTGGTCTTTAACTCTCAGTGCTTCTTCAGATTCTGGGAGGGAAGGCCAGCTTCAAGGAAATCTAGAGTCTCCATAAGGATCTGGGCAGTCAGGTTTTAGGTCTCAGTGATGCCAAATCAGGAGAGAGGGAGAAAATTGAGAAATGTTAGTTTGGAGGGTTATAGTCACGTAGTGAAGGAAATTCAATACTGAAACTGATATTGAAGGAATATCAATTCCTTCCAGACACTGAAGGAATTCAAAACTGAAAATTTGTTAAGGGTTGACATTGTGTGCAAGATCACAGGGTTCATTTCAATTTACAGATAGGTAATGAAACTATGAAGTTTACAAAGAGGTGCACAATAGTTCAAAGACAATGAACAGGACCAGAAATACCTGGCCTCATTAGATTTTGCCTGATTATTTGCACCGGTGCAGCAAGAATGGTAAATAATCATACAGACCTTTTAAAGTTTGCTTCACTTGGAAAGTTTTTATGTGGAATTTCAGATTGGACTTTTAAAAGCCTCTCAAGGTTAGGAAGCCAAGCCAAAAACTCACCACCAGACTTCACCCACAGTTCCTATATATTTTGGTGAATTCC